ATAAACATTGTAATTGTCACAATAACTCGTTATTTTCTATTTGTAGATGTGCATTTGTATAAATATTATTAATGATCCTAATTGGACAGCACCAAGCCTTAACTTTTGTTATATTTCTATTTTACGTACTTGACATAACTCCTAAATTTTGTTAGGTCTGTATACAAGACCACCCAAAATTGTGAACCATGCCGTCTTTTGCAAAGATCTCCTGTAGAGGGGTTCTATCTAGCAGGTGACTACACAAAGCAAGAGTATTTGGCCTCAATGGAAGGTGCTGTTCTTTTACGGAAGCTTTGTGCACAGTGCATTATACAGGTACTCTTTGTATTATTCTATCCTATGACATCTTTCGTTATTGCAACAAAGAGGTTTTGTCTTAGTTCAAACTTATGAGTTGCCTTAGATGCAATAGCTGTTGTGGCATGCCATGCAGTCAAGGCGTCATTGACTTATTGCTGATATACTGAGATTTGCAGGAGTACAAATTGCTTGTTTCTTCTGGGGAAAGGAAGTTGGCAGCGGCAACTCTCTGATTACATAATTGGTATTAGATTTTGAAAGGCACTGAGAATCATCTGGAGATTGGTTGCTACTCAAAAACTATAGTATTTCAGCGATCTTGATATCATTAGTTCATTACCCCATAAAAGTTGGTAATCTCTACAAAGACAGATTCTCGAACTCTTCAAAAGTAATAATAATATCCTTAAGTTCTATCATTAGTCATTTTGTAGTTAGTTAATAGCTATCTTTATTGGCATTATGAATAAGCCACTTCTCTCTCTCCCTCTCTCTCTCTCTCTCTCTCTCTCTCCAGACTGCAAAATCGAGAACTTTTTTCTTTTTCATTCCAAGCAAAGAATCTGATAAGTTGGCATACCACATAATCAAATTGAGCATACTTCTCTCTTATTTATCTTCTATTCTCTTCCTCTTTGTTTTGGGCTTTATTCTACTCAAAGAATGTGGTACTGTGCACAGAATCAGAATAGAGTTTTGGCCATCATCTTTTATAGAAGTGGAAATGGGATAATCTGCTCGTATAAGCCATTCAACTCTATCAAACAAGCAAGCATATATACTTCTTTCTTTTCCCCATCTATTGCCTTCTCTCTTATTTTTCTTCTATTCTCTTCCTCTTTTTTTTTGGGGTTTTGTTTCACTCAAAGAATATGATACTGTGCACAGAATCAGAATAGAGTTTTGGCCATCATCTTTTATAAAAGTGGAAATGGGATAATCTCCTCGTATAAGCCATTCAACTCTATCAAACAAGCAAGCATATATACTTCTTTTTTCTCCCCTTCTATTGCCTTTCCTTGTTTGCCATCATTCCACGCAAAGAACCGAATCAAAATTGAGTTTTGGCCATCGTTCTCTATAAAGCATCTCGTAATCCATGTAACTCCTCGAGCAAACAAATAAGCATACTTCTGTACCTTTTTCCTTCGATTGTTTTCTTCATCTCTATCATGGCTGAAGCGATTGTTTCCAGGGTGCTGGAAAAGTTGAGTTCAGTATTAGAGGAGGAGGTGAGACGCATTACCAATGTTCGTGGTGAAGTTGAAAAGCTCGCCAGCAATTTTCGAGCCATCAAAGCTGTTTTGGAGGATGCGGAGCGGCAGCAAATGTGGGAAGGGAAGACCAGTGTTCGAGATTGGTTATTCAAGCTCAAGGAAGTCTCATATGACATTGAAAATGTGCTGGATGAGTGGAGCACTACAGTTTTCAAGTCGAAACTTGAGAAGAAGAAGGTATGTTGCTTCATCCCCTCTCCTTCCTTCTGTTTCAACAGAGGGAAATTGCTTCACAAAACCGCACACAAGATATTAGAGTTGAATGGGAGGTTGGATGTTATTGCAAATGAGAGAGAAAAGTATAGTCTTAAGGAATTAAATGTTGAAAAACCAATTAGACGAGAGCAAACTACTTCTCTCGTAACTTTAGCTGAGGTGTGTGGTAGAGTTAAGGATAAGGAGAGGATTGTAGATATATTATTGAATGAGGGTGGAATTGACGTGATCCCTATAGTAGGTGTTGGGGGGATTGGTAAAACTACTCTTGCCCAACTAGCCTTCAATAATGAGAAAGTAAAATCTCATTTTGAGAAGAGAATATGGGTGTGCGTCTCTGATCCTTTTGATGTGATGAGGATTGCCAAAGCAATTCTTACGTCTCTTGGTGAGAATGCTTGGCAAAATTTGGTTGAATTGGAGGATGTATTAAAACTCCTTATAGACTCAATCAAAGATAAGAAATTCCTACTTGTCCTAGATGATGTGTGGAATGAACAATATGAAAGGTGGGGTCTATTGAAAAAATCATTGAGTTCTGGCTCAGTAGGAAGCAAAATCTTAGTGACCACACGTAAGGAGACTGTAGCAAGAACAATGCGTTGCACTACCTTGTTCCCAGTGGAGCAGTTGTCTGAAGAAGAAAGTTGGTTATTGTTTTGTCAAATAGCATTTCTAGGGAGATCCAATGAAGATCGTGAAAATTTGAGAGAAATTGGTAGGAAAATAGCAAGAAAGTGCAAGGGCTTACCACTTGCTCTAAAGACAGTGGGTGGTCTCATGCTCTTGAGAAAAACCATAAAAGAATGGCAGAGTGTCTTAGACAGTGAAATATGGGAACTTGAAGTGGCTGAGGAAGGTCTTTTTCGCCCCTTAATGTTTAGCTATTTTGATTTACCATCACACTTGAGGCAATGTTTCTCATATTGTGCAGTCTTTCCAAAAGATTATGTG